AGACAGTCTTTTGCATATAAATAATCAAAACATTTAATGTTTTATATTTTATCTCTCATTTTCCCACTTTGTTTCAAAAAAGAATGGCAACTTTAGCTCTGAAACATACTTTTCAGTAGGTTGTTGCTTGATTAATGTGTCCTGTCAGTTTTTAAAACCCATGTAGAGTTTGYCTGTGTTCTTGTGTTCAGATCGCTGCAGATGTAAGACGGTTAGAATGGGACAGAAAACATACGTAAAGAACAACTACAACTATGGTGAGTAATCTGTTTTTCAGTTTTTATGATAACACTTAAAGTTGTTACAGTTAATGACACTTTTATTTGTGCCATGTGATACAGATGAATTAAATGTTAATGTTTCTTAATAAATCCTTAAATAGATTCTTTCTTGAAAGAGTAAAATGTGTTTATTGAGAACCAAAATAATGTCCCATTAAGTGCAGTATTATGGGACAAAATTACCATTGACATCCTGTGACGACATCATCTGTGGAGGGGTTTTGTTTGTATTTACAAAGAAAGAAAAGTCAGACCTAACAGATCCTGTTTTCTTTACTTTAAAGTATAAACTTGGWTGGCATTAGGTTCAACATAACTAAAAAACATAGGATTTGCTAATAGTTGTGCTTAGTGACAAGGCTAACGATAGTCATGTTTCCATGAACGGTTTTAGTCTGCATTTTGAAGTATTGCTTTAGAAAAYGTGAATGGAAATGGCACAATTTGAAAAAACTTCCTCTATTATGCAAATAAATTTATACGCTAGCTTGAGGTGGTTTTAGGATTTTTCAAAAAAAAAGTTAATGAGCAAAAGGGGAGATGGAAACATTTCAACCTGGAAAGACAGCCACACAGAAAAATAGCATTTACACAGTTTTACAGATATGAGAAAGTTCTTTGGCACTCAAGCCCCAGCAGAAGATGTGGGTGCAGCGAGCTGCTGTGAGCTGGCAATCAGCTTAAGTTTTAGGAAGAACGTCTTTTCCCTGGGGCTCGGACACTGGTGGTGGTGTGGAGGCCAGAGGGAAGGGGAAGCCAGGAAGAGTCTGAGATGAAGGTGGAGGTGTGTTGAACATGTTGGAGAGCAGACTGATCCTTGGGTGCCGGGCCTTTAGACCTGGATCCCTGTGAGTTGATTGGTACGGTGAGGCAAGGGTCTGACGCTGATGGACTGCAGCTGGGAGTGCGACGTAGTGATTGGATGGAGCAGGTGAAGTGGAGAAAGTCTTACAGTTTGAATTTGCGCATAAGCTTCATTTGCCAAATAAGTTCTGACGCAGCGAACAGTTACCTCACATGGTTGATCAGCTGTTCCCGCTGCCTGTCCAGTTCAGGTACCAGCTGCAGCATTAGCCGCAACTCCAGCAGAACTCTCCTCTKGCTGTTGACGTCTTCTCAGATATTCCCGTAATGTGAAGATAATTGCATTTCTTTAACTGTCTCAGACAGCGTGTAACATCACAAAAACTAGTTGATATCACAGAATAATTACTACTTTCCCAATAGTAGCAACATGCTCCTGATAACTTTTCTCCATTGTCCTGAGATGTGTAGTCCCTACAAGTTTGCGACTTCCACTTCCTGTTTACTACAGCCWTGCATCTGACGTAATTGGTTTGCTTGATTCACTCCAAGCCAGTTCTGATTTGCATTTCTTCTTTTTTTTTCCTTTTTGCAACATTYGCTCAAAATTCGAATCAAAATCGGATGGAAACATGGCTTATGATTGACAACAATGTACTTCTCATCACTTTATGCATTAAACCTGACGGCAGCATGTTCACCAACTGATCTCCTGATGCATCTCAATAATCCAGGTAGAGATCTAAAAAAGTTAAATACAGTTAGGTCTTTACATATTTGGACAGAGACAACATKTTTCTAACTTTGGTTCTAGACATCACCACAATGAATTTGAAAAAAAACAATTCAGATGCAGCTGAAGTTCAGACTTTCAGCTTTAATTCAGTGGTTGAACAAAATGATTGTAGAAAACTGTGAGGAACTAAAACATCTTTTAAACACAATCCTTCATTTCACAGGTTCTAAACTCACTGTAGAACCAGAACCAGAGCTGTAGAACCAGAACCAGAGCTGTAGAACCAGAACCAGAGCTGTAGAACCAGAACCAGAGCTGTAGAACCAGAACC